TTATTTATTTCATTTATATGCCACCTTTCTCTCAGACTGGGATCCAAGGCAGCTTCCAAAGGGAATCATTTTAAAAAACCTTAATCACAATTTTTAAGTAATTAAAATTCCATACATTAAAGAACATAAAATCATTTAATAGTCATACAAAAGTTTAAAAAATAAAACAAAACACACATCTAAACACACACTTCCTGCTTATCAATTATATTTATTTATGGTCTTGGTATTTGGCAGAAACAGGAACATTACAATGAATTTGTAAAAAATTAACCTTGCTGAATAACAGCAAACAGCAGCCATATATTCCTGCTCATACACAGATGGGGGTGAGGGGGTTGGATTATGAAGAAGAAGTCAGGCATGTTCATCATATGATGGATACAACACCAAATGGCAATCTAGCTCAGGAAACATAACATCATTGTTGTGGGCCTTCAAGCTGTTTCTGACTTATGGTTACCCTATCATGGTTTTCTTGGCAAGATTTGTTCAGAGGGGGAATGCCATTGTCTTCATCGGAAGCTGAGAAAATTTGACTTGTTCAAGTTCACCCAATGGCTTTCCATGGCCAAACAGGGATTTGAACTCCGGTCTTCAGAATCCAACACTCAAACCACTACACGCCACTAGTTCTGCTATCTCAAACATACTATTATATCAAACCAAATATAATGGCTTGAATCACAAGGCAAGGTGAAGGAGTTTCCCATTGCCTCCTGCCTCCTTGAACACCTTAAAAAGCCTCTCAGTACAATATAGGAGGGTAAAGGCTTGACTCAGGCTTGCATCCTTCCGAGGTCACTAAAACGAGTACCCAGTTTGTTTGGGGCAATTAGCTTACACACTGTAAACTGCTTAGGGACTGCTTAAGTGCACTGATAAGTGGTATAGAAATGTACTTGCTATTACTATTGAAGCACTTAATGGTGTAAGATGTTCCAAAGGCTGTGGACAAATGGATCTTGTAATCAGGCAATTCTGGCTATCTTTGAGTAACTAAAAAAATCCGCCAGCACTCCATCCCACACTGCTCAGGAGCCCTCAATCCTTTGGGGAAGAGTATCCTGGCACAGGAAGTGAAAGAAAATTTTCTTCTGGAAAATTTCCTGAACTTAAAAAGGAAACAAGATCATGGGGCTCCAATGGAGTGCTTGTAAAACATCAGTTGTCAATCACAAGGAGGACAACATTCAAACAGGGGAGGTGAATGACAGATGCACATATGTGTGTGAACCAGATCTTTGTCTATATCTTGTGGAATGATGCAAATCATGCTTGTGCCTTGTCTATGCAGCATTCTAATATATAAAGATGTGCTAACATTTCTATAAATAATCTCTTAGGGTGCATACTATTTGATTAATGTTACACAAATGCTGTTAATTCAGGCCCTTTGTTATAGGTGTGGTAACTGTGATTTCAATATTTAACAGGGGACACGATAAAATGTATTTCTGAATCATATTTTGATACATCCTTAAATTTCAGTAACATCTTTTTCTATTTGTCATTAAACCTGAGGATTTAAAGTTTCACCTAAAATCTATATAAGCTAGTTGTGGAATAATCTCTTTTTTTACAAATTCTTTTAAACATTTAATTTCAATGAAATAGAATTGTTGAACACTTCTTTAATCCTTTTCTAAATAAGTGTAAAGTGTAAAGTTACCATATTGACAATATATAATACCAAAATATTTCTGTATTAATAAAAATAAAATACAAAAAATCTATATAAGCTAGCAGTGATTCTTTTGAGCAATGAAATACTGAATAGAAGACTCTGGCAAAAGTTAAGCACACACAATAGCTTAAAAACAGATGCATGTGTCAGAAACAAATCCATGTGCCAGAATAAAGGTCTTAGTAACTCATTTTTTACCTGGTCAACCAACCAAAGTATCATAATTTTGGCCACATACAGCTTACTAGTATGAGGGAAAACCAGCAAGTTGTGTTCCAATTTTTGAAACCCTCTCTGCTTTGCTAGCCAGTGACAAATCCTAATTTCTATGAGCAACCACATTAATATCTATTTACAAGCCTAACCTAGCACAAGATAGTATGCATGGAAAACTTTGTGAGGAAATTATTGAACTCTAACATATCAGTAGTACCCGTTTAACCTGTACAAAGAGTGAGTAACCCTTGCATACAAAATTGCCCCCTTTTCATTCTCACAAACACTGTACTACTACCTGTAAGCACATTTTAAGAACGTAAGAACAGGCATGGTTGAATCTGTAGACCAGGGGTAGGCAACCTTTTTGAGCCGGGGGCTGGGTTGCTCTCCCTCAGACAATTGGGGGAGTGAAGCACCCAAAAATAAATAAATAAAAAATAAAAATAAAAAATATGCATGCACACTCTCTCAGCCCCATGGAAAAACCCCTGTGGAGATTTTGCCAAGAAAACCCCAAGAACAAGTAATAACAACAATAATCAATATCATCATGGCGGGTGGCGGCGGCAGAGGCGGCGGCAGGACTGGCCTGGGGCCGGTCCAAAGGCCTCGGGGGGGCGCATCTGGCCCCCCGGGCCTTAGGTTGCCTACCCCTGCTGTAGACAGAGAGGTGACTATATAGTACATGTAATTAAGTACACATTTCATCCCAATATCACACACTATCCCTACACTCATAGCATGGAAGAAATATTCATCATTTCTCATTCCTTGTACAAATCACAACCAGCTTTGCCAGATCTCACCCATCTACAATAAAATGCCACCTGCTGGCTTAACCTGCCAGCTGCTACAGTCTTTAGGGGCTTCTGCTCTTTGATTTTTTCCCCCCTCAAAAATCACACACAAAAATCTGCTTGCTTACATCTGCCGTTTTCTTGCCAATTATATCCTGAACACCTATAAACAGATTATGTGGTTTATCATTCAAAATAATGCTCAGTGGATAAGCATTTCTGATCTTGAGGCAAGTCACACTCTCTCCAAGGAAAGCAATCCCGCCCCCCCGAACAAATCTTTCCAAGAAAACCCCATGATAGATTTGCCTTAGGATCTCAGTAAGCTGGAAACGATTTGAAGGGCCACAACAACTCCTATCCTAATCATGCTTCTTCACCAGAACTACTGCATATACTCAAGTCTAGAAATTTTAGTTAAAGAGTTGACCCAAAAAAACTGAGTAGACTTATCCACAAGTCAATGTAAATATGGGACTTTAACTCTCCCCCTAGTAAAAGGCAAGAATGTAATGTTTCCTGGAAGCACTGACCCCCTTCTACTCTTTCTTCCATCCAACCTTTAGTATCAGCAAACAGTTATGCCTGCTGGAATTTTCTACATTCTTACGTATTGTTTTCCTTTGCTTAATTCTTTAAATCCTTTGTTACATGCCCCTAGGTTTTGCCCCTGACTTATCCATGGGTCATACCAAAATACATAATTTTGGCTCCAAAACCTGCCCTCAACTTATACATGAGGTCAATTTATAGTCAAGTATACATGGTATGTTGCAACAGACATGAACTGTTCCTCACCATTCACTTTTTCCCAGAAATGACACTAGTAAAGATTCCACTGAGGGACTGACTCAATTAGTCTACCTTACAATTAATGAACCCCTCTATTTATGCATATATGAACCTTACTATATCTCCTGTCTCTCTGTTATCATGTTATGATCAGAATGTTGTACTTTGGGCAGGACATTTGGGCAGGAATAAAAGGATTCACCTGGATTAATCAAGTCCTCATGACTTCTTTCTCCCCACTTTAGTTCACAATAAAGTTTCTGCAACTTATAACCTTAATTTTCCTGGGGTGCATCTGCACTGTACAAATAATGCAGTTTGACACCACTTTAAGTGCTGTAGTTCCATCTGATGGAATTCTGGGATTTGTAGTTTTACATGGTTTTTAACATTCTCTGCCAAAGAGTGCTGCTGCCTCACAAAACTACAACTCCAAGGATTCTGTAGGATGGAGACTTGACATTTAAAGTGGTGTCAAACTGAATTATTTCTATAATGTAGATGCACCATTTGTTTTACCAAGAATCTAGGAGTAATCTGACATACCTTTGTACAAACTGGGAGCACAGATTCAAATCTCTACTATGGTTTTCCTTGTATAAACACTTTCAGAACACATCTATGAACACATAGAGGTAGTATTGCTTTCAGTTAGTGTTTCTGGAAAACTAATCTTCCAGTATGTGTCACTAAGGGCCAATACAGACTGCCAGAAATAATCCAGTTTGAGACCACTTTAACTGTCCTGGCTCAGTGCTAGGGAATCATGGGAACTGTAGTTTATTGTAGCACCAGAGCTCTCTGACAAAGGCTCAATGTATCAGAAAAAACTACAATGCCCATGATTCCCTAGCACTGAGCCAGGACAGTTAAAGTGGTCTCAAACTGGATTATTTCTGGCAGTCTCTATAGGCCCTAAGTCAAATGCTGCTTCAGTCTAAAAAGTCAACAACTAGTACGTTAATTTACAGCAGGGAAAAATACATCCAAGGCAGTAGCAGCTCTCCTGAAAATACCTTCCTTGCACCTGAGATCTGACAAAGCCAGATTCCATCAAAGCAGTACAGTCGCCTCTTCCAATTCGCGGGGATCCATTCCAGACCACCACCCCCACACAACTTGGGGAAATCGTCAATATTGGAACCCCATTGATTCCAGTGGGAGCATGCTCCTGCATATGGCACGATGTGCATGCCTTAGGTGCGCACACTATTTTGTCCCTCATGGCTGTCCACGAAGGAACAAGGGATGCGAACGGCAAGACCGCGAACGGCAAGAGACAAGTGTGTCATCATTCAGTTACTGGGACAAGTCAGTTTATTTTAATCAACTTCAGCTGAACCTACTTATTAGCTTTTTTCTCTTTTTTAATGAATGCTTGTCAAATAAAAATAAATGAACAAATAAATTAACAGGCTGACACCCAAAGCAGACAGCAATACAAACTGTTTCTTATTTTCAAGAAATGTACTCTAATATAGGAAATAATATTTTTATTTTTATTTTGCAGTGTGGCATAATGGTTTGAATGTTGGGACTATGACTCTGAAGAACAGGGTTTGAATCCCTGCTCAGCCATGAAAACCCTCTGGGTGATCTTGGACAAATCACACTCTCTTAGCCTTGGAGGATGGCAATGGAAAACCCCGTGAAGAAATGTGTCAAGAAAACCAAGATAGGTTGGCCTTAGGGTTGCCGTTAGTTGGAAACGACTTGAAGGCAAACAACATACATACAAAAAGTAAAATCAATGCCAGTGTTTCTCTTTGGTGTGCCTTTTCACACAGCACAAATTTAAGCTGGACATGAAGCATACATATTTCCTTAGACGGCGCAGACACAACCTTTCCATACCAACTGCAGTTTCTGGTAGGATAGGGCATGGCTATTATTTGGGTAGGAGATCACCAACAAATACCATGGATCTCTAGGAAGTGCTAGGGAAGATTCATGTCACTGTCAAATGAAGTTGGCTGTGCTGAGAAAGAAGGATCAGTGGTCTGACTCTGTGATATTCAAAAGCCAGCCAAGCCTCTAGCACACCACAATAGAAGTACAGTGTCTAGTTCAAGGGAAGTAATAGTACCACTCTATTTTGCTTTGGTCAAATCTCACCTGGAATACTGTGTCCAATTCTGGGCACCAGAATTCAAAAAGGATGTGGAGAAGTTGAAGCATGTCTAGAGGAGGACAACTAAGGGCATTTACAAACTGCCAGAAATAATGCAACTTGAGTGCACTTTAACTGCCCTGGCTCAGTGCTAGAGAATTATGGGAACTGTAGTTTATTGTGGCACCAGAGCTCCCTGACAGAGAAGGCTCAATGTGTCCAAAAAAAAAAAAAAACACTACAGTTCCCATGATTCCCTAGCACTGAGCCAGGGCAGTTAAAGTGGACTCAAGTTGCATTATTTCTGGCAGTCTGTAAAGGTCCTAAAATAGTGAATGGTCTGGAAACCATGCCCAATGAAGAGAGACATAAGGCTACACAAACTAAGACCTGGAGCAATGGATGCAAACTACAGGAAAAGAGACTCTACCTCAGGGGTAGGAAACCTTTCCCCTTTAAGGGCTGAGGGACTTCAGCTCCCAGAATCCCAGGAGCTATTGGCCAACATGGCTGAGGCTTCTGGGAGCTGAAGTCCCTCGGCCCTTAAAGGGGGAAGGTTGCCTACCCCTGCTCTACCTCAACATTAGGAAGAACGTCCTGATGGTAATAGCTGTTCAATAGTGGAATACTCTACCCTGGAGTGATGGAGTCTCATTCTTTGGAGATTTTTAAACAGAGGCTAGATGGCCAGCTGTGGGGGGTGCTTTGATTGTGTGTTGCTTCCTGCATGACAGGGGGTCCAACTGATTGGCTCTTGTGGTCTCTTCTAACTCTATGATTGGATGATTCTACAACTGGGTTACTGGAGTAGAGAAGGTCTTTTTAAGGCATTACTCTCAACAGAGGAACTCAGATAACCCTTTGGGCAGATTTTAATATGCAAGCAATTTTACACAAGGAGAGATGTTCCTGCAAACAGAGGTCCCAGAAGTTGATCAGGTTTAGACATCATCACTGACAATCTGAATTCAGAAGGGAAGTGAATCACCAGTCAGTCAGCTCATTTAGAACTGATATTGTATACCAAAACTAGTTTCAGCCTCGCCAAAGTGTTGCTTCTTAAACAGTCAATGTGGTGGAGGGCAGCAGGGTGCTTCTCCCAGTAAGCCACTGACTGACGCCACATTTCTGCCCAATGAGTACAACTGTTTCTTTCCTTAAAGTATGCTGCAGACCACGCCACTTTGGAAAGCACTGATCTACATTACACCACAGGAATCAGTCTAGTAAATGCTATTGCTAGATTATCCCCATCCAGGAAAAACCAGTTTAGCTTCACTACCCCATCAAATAGATTTTAAAAATAGCCATATCTGTTCGGGAAACATTGTGAATCATGACAGTAGTGCATAAGATCAGTGAGAAGGAAAGTATTTTTGTGATAACACACTATCCAAAATGCACCTTCGCTTATGTACTAAAATATAGATGTGTACTGTTTAGTTTATTTTTGAATGTAAATTAAGAGGAAATTAAGAGGAACAAATTAAACTGAAATATAGGAAGTGGGGAGCCATTTTTAAATGTCACAAGGCTGTTTTGTGTCATGGTGGTGGTAGGTTATGAATGGTAGGTGGGGGGGAGTGTGTTATGTGTAAATGTAATTGTAAATGTGTTTTATGTGTAAATATAATTGTGAGTTGTTGTTCATACAGAATGAATTTATATACTAATAAAATTATTTTAATATTTTTTTAAAAACAAAATATTTTTAAAAAACAAATTTTTTTTAATATTTTTTAAAAACAAAATGTAAAGGTTTCTTATCATACTGATTTCAATTAAGCCTTAAAACATTAAACAACAAGAGTAAAATATTATTAGAAATCATCTCTAGTTCTTTTATTAAATAATGAACCCTTTTCTAACTAAAAGTGTTCATGTTCAACTGGATGTTTAATCCTGAGTGGATCTTCCAACAAAATAACCCCCTCCTTAAAAACTAGATATTTCAGTTGTGCCAGACTGCCACACACCATAGAGGATTAGGAAGTCATCCATTTCATATGCTTCACATTCTTATTTATGAATGCTTCCAATAATTCAGTTCCACAAATTGCATTCACCTTTGCAATAGAAGACATGGCAGCCAAGACTAAGGGGGGTTGCAGACTGCCAGAAATAGAGCAAACTGAATCCACTTTTAGGGTTAGGGTTAGGGAATCATGGGAACTGTGTTTTATTGTGGCGCCAGAGCTCTCTGACAGAGAAGGCTCAATGTCTCAGAAAAAAAAAACAATTCCCATGATTCCCTAGCACTAACCCTAACCCTAACCATAAAAGTGGACTCAATTTGCACTATTTCTGGCAGTCTGCAACCCCCATTAGTGTTAGGACAGGGGTAGGCAACCTGTCCACTTTAAGGGCCGAGGGACTTCAGCTCCCAGAATCCCAGGAGCTATTGGCCAACATGGCTGAGGCTTCTGGGAGCTGAAGTCCCTCGGCCCTTAAAGGGGACAGGTTGCCTACCCCTATGTTAGGAGAAGCTCAGAAAGATGAAGGTGAATGGGAAGGAGAGAGACAGATGCTATGCAGAGGACAAAGATAACTCTCTCCTCACACACAACCACTTGAACAATTTCACAAGGTGGGGGATCAGGGTCTCAAACAAGGCCCTCTGACAAATGATTTAATACCAAGATTAAAATATACAGTTTGACACTATTTTAACTGCAATGAATCTATCCTAAAGAATCCTGGGATTTGTAGTTTTTGTTGAGGCACCAGAGCTATTCTGACAGATCAAGCTAAATAATTTTTGTTGCTGCTGCGTGCTTTCAAGTTATTTCTGACTTATAGCGACCATAAGGCTAACCTAGGGTTTTCTTGGCACTGCTACCTTCTGAGGCTGAGAGAGTGTGACTTGCCCAAGGTCATCCAGTGGGTTTCACTGAGCTGGAATTCAAACCCTGGTCTCCAGAGTCATGATATAATACTCAAACCACTATGTCACACTGGCTCACCAAACTTCAAATCCCAGAGTTCTGTAGGATAGTGTCACAGCAATTAAAGTCATCCAAGATGCTTTAATTCTGCAGTGTGGATACATGCAGAGAGGCGTAATAAAAATCCAATTAAATAAATTCGATAAGGGTACAAACATGGATACGACCCGATGACAAGTTGTAAAGCAAGATTTCAAAACTGGCCCCCATTTACCTTTTTAAGACAAACAATGTATTCTCTCATCTTATCTTATATTACCTGAATATTTCTGAGCCCACACCCTTTCTGCAGTTATTACAAAGTATTGCTACAACAAGAATATCTATAAATGCTCAAGTCTTGGTTATTTATGCATCAGCAGTCTACAGCAATAGAGAAATTTCATGTATTTTTACAAGAAAAAGGGAGCCCAAATGAATAAATGCAATTCTATATATACTCCTTCGAGAGGCAATGTGGCGTCATGGTTTGAGTGTTGGACTACGACTCTGGAGACCTGGGTTCCATTCCCAGCTCGGCTACAAAACTCATGGGGTGACCTTGGGCAAGTCACACACTGTCAGCCTCAGAGGAAGGCAAAGGCAAACCTCCTCTAAACAAATCTTGCCAAGGAAGCTCCATGGTAAGGTTACCATAAGTCGAAAATGACTTGAAGGCACACAACAACAAATATACTCCTTTAAAGTATTATCATTTTTCCCCAAGGGAAAGTCAGGAAGTTGGGCTAACAAAAGTATTTTTCCTGTTTCCCATGTATTCAGATAGCCAAATAACATCAGGTTTAGAAAATCTCACATATGCCACCAGACTGTCCCTGCCTTCAGAATGATTGTTGAAGGTGACAAAGTCATCGTGTTAAAAAATAAACTTTTCTGGACTGCTGATATGGACTACAAAGTGGTCTCTTAACTGATAGCATTTATAGTTTTTCCTATGTGATATGAATCACAGAAGCTAGCCTTGTGTTTTGTTATGCTTCCTACTCAGTCATTATTTTTATCCACAAGACCTGAGACAAAACATAGTTGCTACTGGTCAAAGATACTGAAAACGAGGCATTATCCAAGGAGATTAATTTGGATCCCCCTATTTAGGAGAGCAATTATGTTGCACTCAAAGCAAGTTACTAAATTAACAGAATCATATTATCTAATACGTAATCATAACCATGCAATTAAAATATAACACCAAATTAGCCTTAAAAATGGTTTTCACCTTCATTTCAATCAAAATGAATTAACCTGAATTAACCAAAAAAGGGAGAAATCTGGGAACTTTTTGTAACAGCAGACAAGGAAGAAAACTCCTCAGCAGATGTATACATGGAAAGCATGCTCAAGCAGTGGGGCAATACTATAAAAGCAATTTTTCACAGTGGTTAACCTTACTAGTTATAGCAAAGTAAGCCCTATTCTGAAAGCTAATAAAGGAGGCTAATAAAAGACAGCTGCCTCCAAATTGCTCTTCCCTGATACTCTGGACTATAGTAAGTCCCCATCAGGACAGCCAGTGGTGTGAGATGATGGAAAACTCCAAAACATCTAGAGGGATCCATGTTGGGGAATGTTGATAATGGAAAACCATTTCTCATGATGAAGGCTATGAAAGACTATGGTCACACCCGTTAGGAGGCAGAAAGCACCTCCAACTGAAGCTTCAAAGTCATTTTTAAGGGCAGCCTTGTGACTTCTACCATACTTCTTTCAGTGTGACCCTAACATTCCTTTTATCAACCAACCTAAAGATCCAGATACAATGCTATTAAATGTCCTCTCAGATGTTCCCCACCCCCAGAAAATGCTTATTGCTTATTCTCTACACTGAACTGTTTTTTTTTAAAAAAAAATCATATTCATGGGGCACTAGAATCCATCAGTGCACTTAAAATACAATCAACAGACAAGTAAACCTGAGATTTATCTTCTGCCCAAATCTTTCCATTACCTTAATGTCTCTTTCACATAAGAGATGACCTTACCTCAAGCTACTTTATGGAGTAACAGTGAAATATAGATGTACATACATACATATTAGGAGTGTCATGCATTGTGCAAAATCACTTCTGACCTAAACCAACCAGATACATCAGCTTCCATACCATTTCTGTAGATAATCCAGTGCTTCTAAGCGAGCACCAATCTCAAATGTGATCCCAGGGCGATTTGGAGGCTTTCTGCTCATCTTGAGAACTTCTATCCCTTCCTCTTCTCAGCTATAGACGGAAAGAAAAAGTGTTACTGCCACAGAAGACTTTAACAGCAATCTTGCATTCATTTTTAGGATAATAAAAAGATGGGATGTCAACCAACCATAACTATGCAAACACTTCAGTCCTAAAAGTGAAATCCTAGGCATGTTCATACAGAAGTCTCATTGAATTGAATAGTTCACTAAAATGTAGAGTAGAAATTTGTTCTTTCCAACTCATCATGAAGGTACTGCAAGATTCCTTTATGCCTTTTTATGCTAAAGCAAGCATGGCTATCTCTTTGAATTAATTAGCAGTTACATTCAAATAACTGGATACAAGTTTGAAGTGTAGGATTTACAATGTTAACTGAAGAATTGCTACACTGATTATGATAGATCCAAATCATTGACAGTTATCATCAAAGTAAGCATTCTATCTTCACTTGAACTATATATACCTGAAAGCAAATTATCAGCATAGATGTGAATCTACATAAAAAATCTACACTCGACTCTAAACTAAAGCAACTTTAAAAAATCAAAACACAAGATGAAATGTAAACCATAAACCATACCTGCTTTCAGGGCACCCAATCTACATTTATGATAAGATGTAGTTTTCCT